GCTATTCAGAAGAAGTTGAGCTATTTTAAACTATCATCCCTAATAAGCAGAGCTTATTCAATAAACTGGTTCAATACATTTTTCTGGGTAATCATTTTATCTAAATTTCCAAGTGTGTTGATAGAGAGGTACATACTATTTTTCTCATAACATTAAAAATCTCTGTGCCTATAGTTATATCCCTTTCTTGTTTCTACTGTTGTTTATATGTATCTTCTCATTCTTCTTGATCAGATTTATCTGTTTTAGGTAGTTTATCAAGAAACAAGCTTTTGATTATATTGGTCAAATCTACATTTTTTTGTTTTCTATTTCATTAGGTTCTGCTTTTGTATTTATTGATTCCTTTCTTCTCTTTTCTTTGGGGTTATTTGATATACTCTTCCTGAATTGTATGCCTAGTTTTCAATCTTTTTAGTTTTCTAATAGTTGTTTTTAAGGTTATATTTTCACTTGAATACCATTTTAGCCCTGTTTTAAAATTATTCCTGACCAAAGATTGAAGAAACACTCTTTTTCTTTTACAGGACCCAAATTAATTTTTTTCATAAGGCAATGAGATTCAGAATGCCAGGAGACAGGTCTCAGGTGAAATAGTCTTTCAAGATAGTGCCCTTTACTTTCTACTTAAGATCATTTAAGAAATTGGACATTCTCTGCTCTGATTTCTCATTCATCTTTTATTTAGACTTCACCAACATTGTTTCAGAGCTCTGTGCAGTGAAGAAATTCCCCTTTTTATGTCTTAGGAGGAACACAAACGTAAGAGGTATTTTCACGGACAAGATCTGTAGACACAGCCTGGCCACTGAATCTGAAGATAATTGGCAGTGATAATGTTTAATTGCGTAACTTTTCATTTTTTCACCAGGAGCACTGAAAGACAGATTTTCTTGATTTGCTAAAAGATATGGTCCAAATCAGCAAGTGTGAATCAGTTTCCACAACTCAGAGCAAGCTATGATTCAGCAACACATCTCATATTTTCTTTTCCTCCTTTGCTATAATTTATATAAATTTCCTCTTGGGGAGGAGATAGCCTCAAATTTTGTGGAACTATGCTCTCCTAAGTGACAATTTATGCAATCTACCTTTTTTTCCCAAATGAAGGAAGTATTGTGACACGGCAAATTGCCAAGAAGGCTTAGCTTGCAAAACACAGTTTCTAAAGATTCCTTGGCATATTCTACTTTTCAGCACTTCCTATTGATTAGAAATTGACGGTGCATATTTAGGGCATGATAAATCCTTGTATTTGGCCATTATCCAAGACAAAGTGAAAGAAAATAGCTGCTGTCTGGCCCAGCTGCAACATAAAATTAGTGAAATAATGACATACAAAGGCAAGGCTGTCATGCATGGGTGGCTTTACCCAGCTGCTTAGAGATCACGATTTATGAGCTCTAAACTGGTTACTGATTTAGCAATGTGTCTACCCTGTTGTTAGGGTTGTTTAATGAATAACTTTACGACTCTCTATATTGTATTGACTTTTTATATAGCATTAGATAATGTTGTTTTATTTTGGCTTTAAACTGATAAAAATGATCTAAATTTTAATCTAGTGAAGCCAATGATGTTCTTTCTGGCTCTCAGAAGTTTTGATCCAAACATCAAATTCTCCTTTTTTGTTTTTTGTGATGAAGATTAGCCCTGAGCTAATATCCAATGCCAATCCTCCTCTTTTTGCACAGGAAGGTTGGCCCTGGGCTAACATCCGTGCCCATCTTCCTTCACTTTATATGGGATGCCGCTACAGCATGGCCTGACAAGTGGTGCATCAGTGCGCGCCTGGGATCCAAACCTGCGAACCCAGGGCTGCCGAAGGGGAGCACGTGCACTTAACTGCTACGCCACCCAGCCGGCCCCTCAAATTCTCCTTTTGAGGTGTTCTGTTTTCCTTCATCGGATGACGAGATACTTTCTATAGCCTCGCAGGCTGTGGCTTTCAAAGTAATGTTGATAATGACAATAATTGCTTTAATTAAATCAACATTCATAGTTCTTCGAACCAATGCAAGGACTGTCCAGTGTTTTCCCAAGCAGTACTGGTTTGATATGACTCCCACTGTCCCTTAGGCTTAAAGGCAGATATTTGTCAGGAGCTGCAGTGACAGAATGCCAGGGTTCCCAAATGGAGCCAGTAAAATCTCCTATAGGATTAGCAGCGTAGAAAGGGAGGATGTGAATCACCAAGATAAGTCAAAAATTGAAGACATCTGGTGAAAAGAAAAATAGAGAACTGATACCTCTGTGGATGTGAAAACTTCCTGAGCAGATCTCACATCTTTACATACCATGGGACTCTGATATCATACCCTAGAACTGAGGCATATTTTTTCTCTCATTAACTACCTTGCTTTTATAATTCTGCTTTCTGTATAACACACATATTTAGCATGCTATGACTCATTATGAAACACTACTTTGCAATTTATCTAAACACATTTCATCATTCCACTAGTTCTCTATATCTGGTCCACAATGCCTATTGACTGGGCACAGGCATTATGTTGGCTAACTTAACCCATAAGGATAGCTAAATATTGATGGCTCCAGCCCATTGCATTGTGGGCTGTGCACAGATACAACCCTGCCCAAAGATTTCCACAGTCCCCACTCTACCCACACCGTCCTCACCCCCAACTCCTCTCCTGCCCTGCATCCATTCCCACAGTCAGGTCAAAGTTTGTTTTCTATGCTTTCTTATTCCAGTTTTGCATGTTTCTCTAGTGCAAAGAATTTTTAATGATTGGCTGCAATGAAATGTCTCCACATGGTATTCCTATTATAGCACAAATATAAAGTTGAAAAAGAATTTCTTTATGAATTCTATCACTTGGAGTTGTATCAGTGAGCACTTAGTGAATATTTTGCTTTGCTGATAGAAATATTTAATTTATACTCGAATATTGTTGGATGCATTCTGTTATACTTTCTCACTCTGTCCACACATCAGTCATCTAGACATTGTTTTAAAGTCTAATGTGTAGACACCAATTAACAATATTATTTATTTCAATATATTGATTACTCATCAATTACTTCAAAGAAGAGTTTGATCACTTCTCTATAGTTGGGTTTGCTCCCATACAGCTCAGCCTCTTCCCACAGATACCTCCCAAACATATTACTGGGCATTTTTAATAATTAGAGTCCCAGCTTCTCCACATAGAGGCCACCCCATAAGAGGAGGCTGGTACACACTTAATCTTTCCTAAAATAAGGGTTTATCAGATAGTTATCAGTCATGCCACTTATCAGTAGAGGGAAGAATCTCTTATTCTAAATACTACACATGGAACTCCAGCCTTGAGGAGTAGATGCTATCACAAGAGCAATAGGATTAGGAAAAACATACTAGAAAAGGAAAATAAAATTAAAGGATCAACTTAAAAGATTGCTGGATCTTAAGTTATATTCACCACATATCCTTTCATCTGCATATTCAGTATTACTCATCCATTAATTCTCCAATTTGCAGCTTAGTTCCTAGATAGTTCATTTGAACAAAGTGAATTTTCCTTTTTTACCTAAATCTTCCAGGCACATAATAAAGTTGCAAATTCTTATTCTGGTTAACTCAATAGATTACTATCAAATTGTTTCTGTAGGTTTATGTAAACAAAACTTTATAAGGACTAAGCAAACAAATACAGTTGGATTCTAATCCAAATAATGAATGACAAAAGTCAAGTTTATCAATTTTGTCAAATGGTTGGTAACTATCAATATTTGGTATGTGTTTGTTTTTATATTTAATTGATAGAAGAAAAATAATACCCTAAGATAGTTAATTTAGAACTCTTGTTTCTATTTTTTCTTTACCCAAGAGTAATTTAAAAGGGTGATTGTAAATTTCCAAATGGAGGGTGTGTGTGTTTTTTTTTTTTTTTGATTTTTTTATTATTTTGTTGTGAATTTCCACATTTTCGGCATTGTGGTCAGAGAATGCGGTCTTACGTGAATTCTGCTTTTGAGGCTTCTGTTTAAGATTTTTCAGTGTGGCCTGATATATCATCAATTTTGGTGAGTATTCCACGTGGATTTCACAGTGAAGTATATATTTTTACATGTTAAGTGTAGGATTCTATATCCTTTTATTAATCAGAATTGTTAATTGTATTAAAATTTTTCATATCCTTACTATTCTGTTTGATATTTTGATTTCTGAGTTATAATAAATTGTCTTACTATGGTTGAGAATTTGTCAATTTCTTCTTATCATTCTGGCAATTTTTTCTCATTATATATTTGAAGTTGTGTTGATAGGCACATATAGGTTCATGATTAAGGAATGATTTTCTTATTAATAAAGCTTTATGCCATATAGTCTAGTTAGTTTTATTTTTATATTGGTACACTTATCTTCTTTATATTACTTTTTGCCTTGAATACCTTTTCCATTCTTTCTGGTCATTTTTTGTTTTTAAATATCAAAGAGCTGAAATTTGTTTTTATCCTGGTATGAGAGCTTCTGCCTTTTAATAGAATGAAATTATCCTTTTCATGTTTATTTTGGTTTCTCATATCTGCCCAACCGACTATTTATTTTCCAATTATCATTCTTTCTTATTCTTTATCCCCTTCCTGCCTTTGTTGGATTGAGGCTTTTCCCCCTCTATATTTAATGTTCATTCTCTCTTGTGGCATGGGATGTATATATACATATAATTTCAATATTAATGGTGCTTATACTCATATTTTTATCACATGTATTTAACTTGTATTCTTCTAGCAACATCCAGAGATATTCAGTGTCTTTTCATCATCTCTATATTTAATCTAATATTTAAAAAAAAATGAGCATGATTTGATTTCCCTCCTCCTTATATCCCAGAATCTCCTATGTAGAGATAATTCACAATTTAAGTTCCACTTTGTTAGTTTAAAGCTTCAGATCTTTTCACATTATACACCAACAAGTAGACTTAACTATATATTTTGCTAGTATTACTCACCATTATTTTTCACATCCCACATATATATCTCTCTTTTTCAGAGCCATTGTTTAATTTGCTAGAATATATCCTCAAACAGTTCTTTCAGGATGGATGTGTGGATATGACCCTAGCTTGCTTATCTTTGAGTGCTCTTCAGTTTGTCCAGAAATCAGTCACCCAAAGCAATTTCTGGCTTATCCTGCTCCAGTTGCCACACTCAGTGTTTTATCTGTGACTGTCCTTTGTCCACATGGGAGGAAAGAGAGGGAGAGGAGTGAGTAAGTGTACCTGCTCGGTATTCAGCTCCCCATGAATAATTCTGCCAAATATCCCAACGACTCTCTCTTGCTTCTTGTATTTACTTATTTGGGCTTGGAGTTGCTGTGAAATGTGCATGCCTGCAAATAAGAGCTCTTCTGCATATGTTTTGGGCTAAAATTTTCTTCAGTATTTTTTTTCTGGTAGGGCAAGAAACCACCTCAGCACTCTGCCCATTACCTAGGTGTTTCTGAGTGTCCCAGGGGAGGAGTCTATTCAACTAGGATCTGTCTTGTGCTCACAGCAGCAGAGGGGCCTGCCAGTTGAGTCAGATACGGCTTTGGTGAGTTGCATCCAAAGCAGGGAAGCTAAATGGACTCTTATTTTCATAGTAGCCATATGTGCTAGGGTAGTACACAGAATAATGGCCTTCCAAAGATGTCCATGTACTAATCTCCAGAATTTGAGAATATGTTAACTTACATGGCAAAAGGGACTTTGCAGGAGTGATGAAGTGAAGGCTCATGAGATGGGAAGACTATCCTGAATTATCAAGCTGGGCCCAATGTAATCACAAGGGTCCTTAAAAGAGAGAGGAAAAAGTGTTCAAGTCAGAGAAGTAGATGTGTCCATGTAAGCAGAGTCTGGAGTGATGCACTTTGATAATGGAGGAAGGGCCCATGAACCAAGGAATGCAGGCAGCTTCTAGAAAAGCAAAGAAATGAATTCTCCCCAGAGCCTCCAGAAGAGACACAACTCTGCCAACATCTTGAGTTTACCCCATAAGATCCAGTTCTGACTTCTGACCTCCAGAACTGTAAGATAATAAACCTGTGCTGTCTTAAGGCACTAAGTTTGTTGAACTTTGTTACAGCAGCAATAGGAAACTAATACAGGTGGCATCTTTCTCCAGCAATAGTGATTCTTTGAGTGTGGGTTACCTCTTCCTCATGCTATCTTCAATGAAGGGCAGTCCCAGCCAAACCAGCCACAGCTCTTCAGATAAACCTGTTTTCTCCTTCCCCAGCCCAAAGTCAAGAGAATAGACAGGTGCCAGTCACCTCACAGATGGGAATTCATGGAAGTTTGCACTTCAGTGGAACAATGCTGTTGGGTCTTGTGGGCTGCTGGAAAGGAAAAATGGCCAAGGAATGTAATTGGGACTGTTGAGAGATGGAATATTGTTCAGGCATGTCGGGAAAAGAAGCAAGCAAAAGAAGGGCTATCCGCCCAGAAGAAACCACTCCTGAGAACTGGGTGGAAGGTCCTACTGGCTAAGTCCTCTGCTCTGGCTACTCTCCCAGAGACTCTTGGCTGTGGTTCTACAGGGGAAGGAAATTTCTAAGATTATGTCCTTACAGTTCTGTAGCCCAATTCTTACATCTAGAAGCAACCTGCTCTTTCAGATGTGCAGATGCCTCCTAAGCACAAGTTGACTTCTGGAGACTGGGCCAGATCCAATCCCAGGACACAGCCTCACAGAACCCAGATGCACCATCCCTTCACTTCCCTGACTCAGTATAAGAGCTGGCTCCCCCTCTAACTTTACAGTAACTCTACTTTAGGGGCCTCATTTCCCATCCCTAGCCCTGAAATTTTATCTGGGTCATCCTTGTTGATTCTGGAAGATCTCCATAACTTCAGATCTTAGAGAACAAGGATTAGAGTATAGCTTCCTTTCCTCCAACGAGTCTCTGCGCTCTTTAACAGAATCGGTTCTTGCTCTTCCCCATGTAAAAAAAAATCTGCTTCAAGGTGATTTTTCTGTCCCTGGCTATGACTGTAAACCAAGTGGCAATCTCTCTATATAAAGATAAAAGTCAAACAAATGTAATTTTTGGTGGTGCACTCTTTGGGTAAGGCACCCTTCCATGACGGGGCTTGAATCTTTGTTCTGTGACTTACCATGAATTCTTAAGACTAACCTTGGGCATCTTATTGTCATGTATCTTTTTTTTTTTTTTTTTTTTTTTTTTTTCCCCCAAAGCCCCAGTAGATAGTTGTCTGTCATAGCTGCACATCCTTCTAGTTGCTGTATGTGGGACGTGGCCTCAGCATGGCTGGAGAAGCGGTGCATCTGTGCGCACTGGGGATCCGAACCCTGGCCGCCAGCAGCGGAACGCGAGCACTTAACCGCTAAGCCACAGGGCCGGCCCTTGTCATGTATCTTTAATGATCGAAACCAAGTTTTACTTATTTTTGACACAGTTTCTGGCATATTAAAAATGCTCAATACATATTAGATATTTTGAAATAATACTGTGGCAAAGAAGGCTGATTGCCTCAAAATATCCATTCTCTCTTCTTTAATAGCAGAACCCTGGAAAACGTGCTTGGCTACAAGATGATATTTCTTAGACTCTTCCTTCTGCAACTAGATATGGCCAATGAGATATAATTTAAGTGTTCTCTGAACTTTCTAAGAGGGCTTCATAAAAGGAGGGAGGGGCCTGTGCCCTTTGGCCCATCTACTCTTCCTCCTTCCCGCTGTCTGAAATGTACATGTGATGGCTGGAGCAGAGCAGGAATTTTGGATCATGAGATGATATTCTGGATTTCTTTTATGTGAGAAAAATTAATGTCGATCTTGTTTAAGTCACTTTATTTTAGGTTTTTGTATGCAGCTGAACATAATCCTAACAAAATCAAGAATAGAGAAGAAAAGAAAAGAAACATGGAGAGAGAAGTGAGGAAACAGGAAAAAAGAAAAAAAAGCAAACCAAAACAGTGTTAGGATTCTGGTGTTGCTGTATTCTCTAAACTCTTTCCGAGAACAAAATGTACGGTCTGCTCTGCCATCTTGTGTTTTGGCAATGTGAATTAGCTCATAAACAGTTGGTAAATGGGGGATGATATCAGACTAATAATGCCAAAATTGCTTTGGTTCACATGCAATTTTTCCCAGCATGTGATCTCCAGGAAATCAGGACTTAACTTTCCCCACAATTAAAGAGCAAGCTTCAGCAATACACGAACACTTTACGAAAGAAATCCTACAGAGGTGTCTCCCTCCAGTGAAAGCAAGGGCTGGGTTGGTGGTTTCAAGAACTGTTATGCATTTCCCAGTGTTAAGCCATCTGGTGAAGCCATGAGGACAGATAGGGAAATTGCAAAAATATTTCCCTCTGTGTTTAAAAAAACATGTTGATGGCTCCTGAATCAGATTTTTAATTTTGATAAAGCTGGTCTCTAGGAAGCAAATGCCCCTATATCTCAAAGAAGAAAGTGCAAGCCACCAATGTCAAAGGCTGCACAGGGCAGGCTGCTAGTGAGATGGAGCCATTTTTTAAAAAAATAGATATTTGGGTTTTTTTTGTTGGTGCTCCTGTTATAAAGTTGAGCAGTGTGGTCTGCCCCTAACCCTATTTATCCCATATGCCCTATTATTTTTAGTGTGTGTTTTTGTAGAATGCAAAGCTTTAAATGAATACATATGTGATTTTATAAAGAACTGTCTGTACTACGAAAATAATAAGAATAGCTTCAGAGCAAACTATAACTGATAAAATATTCCTCTTTCACATCTTAACACCAATTCTTCAGTCAAGGTTGGCTTTCCAACCTGCTTCCTTCCATAATTTTATTTTCTTTTATCATCTAGAAAAAAATTGTGAAAAATGTGAAGGCTTAAACATTTTACCTTTCATGCTCCCTTTCTCAGGAAGCTACTAAAGGATGTGTTCCTGCAAAATGAGAGAGTGAATGAGGGGATGCAGGAGTCAGGGACGCAGCACAGGAGAAAGCAGTGGGGTAAGGTCTAGAATGAGGGCAATGGAAGTTCCCAGAAAACAGCTCTGCCACTGACAGAAGAGCAAATTGCTCAGAGGGGGCTCTGGGAGGGAGGTTCTGGGGGAAATGGAACTGAGAGGATATGCTTGAGCATACAGAAAAGTAATGTCTAAAGGTATTTTACAGATAGATCTATTGTGGAAACCAGGAAGAATTAGCTAGAAGACCATAGAGAGCCAGTTCTAACTTGATTTGAGAAATAAGAGATATGACAGTACTTGCGCCTCTCACTATGTAGAGTGGATCACACATTCTACATTGGCTCTTAGGCTTAAGAATAAAAAAATGGATGTTGTCCTGTTACTTTTCAAGAGTTCCAGTAACAGCCCTGTACTTCTAACAGGAGATTTATTTGTACTAAGCACATGGAATACTTCCTGCTTTTGTGCCAGTGGCATAGCTCAGAGGGCTGCTCTACCTCCCAAAATCCTGGTTAGGAAGCCCCATCTCTGCACCTCTCCCACAGGTGTAAAATTCTGATCATCCATGTTGCTCTCCCTGGGTATCCTTATCCAGATCTTTGGCTTCAAACAACAACAGTACACCTATTTCTCCCAATCTCCTACATCCAGCCCAGATCTTGTACCTGAGAGATTCCTCTGCTCATTCCATCCACCTCTTTAACAGATGTTAGGTTTGTTGTGATGTAGGCCTCTCGTGCAGAGGGTGGGCCTTCATAGGGTCAAATCACTGGAGAAGAGGCTAATGCTCAGGGAGGAGACTAGACTTCCTAAAATACATGCAGGGAGAGATAAGGAAATCCCATCGCTTTCCGGCCTTGTTTTGTTGCCTTTAATTGCACAGGCAATCTGCTTCTTTCCTAGTAGTTTTGAGTTACTTCATTATGTAATCTTTTTGAAGGCATTTTCAGTGACAACAAGGAATCCAAACTGAAGTTAAAAGTGTAACCGTTGGAGTGCTATGAATGCAAATAATGCAATGATGTGATAGTCTGTTCAAGGGGTACTTTTTGAATGTGGCTAAAGGGGACACATGAACAGGCAAAGGAAACTGTCTCAACTTACTCTTTAGTTTCGCAGCTGAAATATTCTATTGACGTTGATTATTACAGAAATACTAAGTTCCGAGTTGTGAAAAAGTGAAAAACAATGTGGATCCTAGAAACAGGAAAATGGGGCAATTCTAGGATTCTAGAAAACTGTTCTGTTCTTTAGGCATTGTGGCAGGCATCAAAGACTGTTTAAAGCATAGCCCCAGCCCTCAAACTTCCCCAAACTCAGGAAGTTTCTATAAGATGAAGTAATGATTAATACAGAAGAAATAACAGAGAAGAAAAGCGAAGACAAGACCACTCCTGATTACATGTAAAATTACATGGTAAGGACGATAACAAGAGCTGAAGGAAGAGGGTAAGATACAAAGGTCAAATTAATACCATTGTCCCATTATCCACATACAGGAAACTAAATGAATGAAAGAAACTATCGTAATTTTCATATGAATACAGTTCAGAAATTATGCATTTTCCCGGCTGTGTAAATACAACTAATATGGTTGATTCTGAACATCTGGAACATTTCTTGCCATGTGTAACAGGGAACAGAGCATTTGGCATCCTTTTTAAGGTTGTGTGTAGTCACAATTTAGAGAGGAATCCCAAGTAGAATTCCAGTTAAAAGCAAATAAAATTTTTAACATTCAGAAAGTGTACTGCCCTCTGTGGTAGAGAAACGCCAGCCAACAAATGATGAAACCCAGGGCAACCGAAATGTTAATGTGGCACATCTTCTGTGGAATGTGGATGTTTCAGAGATGTCAGTAATTTTACTTTCTTAATAAAACCCAGATGCTCTTAAATATTCCAGATGTTATTAAAAATTAAACTGAATATAAGTGGCCACAAAATATTGTAGTTAGTGTTCCTATAACAATTGTTTTGAACAGTGATATAGAAAGAGCTGTACCCTTTTACCAGCATGGCTATTTCAAATCCACTATAGTGAATTCTTATACATTATTGATCACTTCTTTATATTTTCTGTTATAGGAAACTTGTATCAGGTGGGCTAATGTATATTTAAATTTATCTCCTTGTAAGTATTATTCATCATGGCCAGTGCAAAAGGGTAAAAAAAATAGAATCTTGAAACAAAACAAATGACCCAATTGACAATTAAAACTCCTTCTTTTTCTAAGCCACAAGTCACTTCACCTTTGCTTTAAAATTTTTTGGCAGCTCCAAAAAATTGAAATATTTGTTCCGGGAAAGTCAGCTGAGGAGTGTTTCGAGTGCTGGTTTCACTGTTCAACAAAACATTGTTCATAATCTTGCTCATACAAAACCCTGAGGAGGGAAATGTGTTCCAGAATGAAGGCTAACATTATAAGGAGTTTAGTGCAATCTGGTTTGTCATGTGGATGAGATTTTAAAAAGGAAGAGGAAGTTACATAATTCAATAGAGCAAGTGACCTGCAAGAGATCGACTGTTTTTTGTCTTTACGGTAAGATTAAATCCTCAGAATAACAACAATGCTAATTACGATAGTACGATTTATTATTAATATTTCAGAAGCCTTAAAAAGACAAAAGTATCAGTTCTGAAAATTGAATAAAAATGTATGGTAATAATTCTCATCATTACTCTTACTCATAAGAAACATTATAAACCAGGAAGAGATCTAAGAGGCATTCTTTTAAATAAGAGCACTGTACTTCAGGCATAGCATAGAATATTAAAGAGATTTTCAGATGCAGTAGTATCTTTGGTTAGTCATAGCCTACCACGGTAATTGTTGAAGTATATTTATATCTGTGGATCTATTTTTTGTATCAGACCACTGAAAGTCCTAAAGAAAGTAACATGTTCTGGAAAATGACTACATTAGTGTCTGTAGCTAACCTATGATCATGGTTTGGGATAAATTAATAATATGTTGATCTTATTATGTCTACATAAATACTATTCAAAGATGAGTCATATAGAGCGATATGACTGCATTTCTTTTCTTGGTCAATTTCCCTGATTTTTTTTTTCACTGCTTTGTACATTAATTTCTTATCATTAATTCATCTCCCCATTCCCAGAAGCAAGAATCCTTCACTATGTTCAAATATATTACTTTTTCTCCTAGAGCCCTCTATCATCCAGTTTCAACTGGGATTGCTGCTTTCTAGACTCTTGCGTGGTTGTCTTCCCAGGATCCCCTTCAACATCATCCTTCAACTCTTTTTGCCCCTCTCTTATGCTGAAGCCTCTGTGTTGTGGGAACCTTCTTACTCTCTTTTCCTTTTTCTTGTTGTATTCTTATTTTTGTGCAGCAAATATATATTTACTTTATCATTTACTTCCTGACCTAGGGAGCATGAGAGAGAAACTTTTTGCTTCCTTGTATATAGAAAAATCTCTTCATTTCTACCACACTTGAATGATATAGTTTAGCTTGGTATAGACTTCTAGGTTAGAAACCACTTTCCCTTATAATCTTGAAGGCATTGATTTATTGTCCTCTAGCATTGTCCTTCAAGCATTTCCAGTCCGTTCGGATTCTCAGTCATGGGTATATGACCTGTTTCTTCTACCTGAGAACTTTTAGGATTTTCTCTAATGTTCTAAAATTTCACAATGATGTGCTATGGTGTGAGTCTTTCCTAAAATGAACTGTTCTGGGTACTCAGCGGGTCCTATTAACCTGGAGATACCTGTTCTCCAGTTCTGTACTGTTCTAGCTTTAGTAAGAACATTCTTCTTCTCATGTTCTCCTTCTGGAACTTCTAGTATTTGGATGCTTGACTTCCTGGATCAATCCTTGATCTTATTATTTCTCTTCTATTTACTATCTTTTTGAAATTTTAATCCTCCTTTCTGGAAGAAATCATTGACTTTACCTTTTAAAGCTTTTAGAAATTTTTTATGTTTTTGTCATTATACATTTTAATATCCAAGATGTCATTTTTAAAGCATAACATTTTGAATATTCCTTAAAAATATCATTCTGTTCCTCTTTTATGAATGCAATAACTTCTCTCTCTGAAAAAGATCAATGATGGACTTTTAACATTTTTTTGTCACTGTTTCTTCCTATTTCTGTAAGTGAGCATCAGTGAGGTCATCTTGTTACACTAAATGGCCCCAGCCCCTCCTCTGTGTGACTACTTGCTGCTCTGCACATACTCTAAAAAAATTCGCATGCTCTCCTGACTCGTGGCCTCCGCTTACCTATGTACTCCCCTATAGCTTGACAAATTAAAACTTTGTTCTATGAGTTTCTCTCCAGGAACAGGCTGACCACAGGAGGGAAACACACCTACAAGTTATCCATCACACCTGACAGAAGACTGGAACAATGTGATGCCTGGAGCCTAACACGCCTGAAGAGCAACATCTCTGGACCCCCTCCCTACAGCCCATTTTCCCTATATAACTGCCTCAAGACTCTGTAATCCTTGGAGATGGTTTTTTTGAGACCTTAGTCTGCCATCCTCCCGATTATACTGGCTAATCAAATTAAAGCTTCCTTTCTCAATCCCTAACTCATTGTGATTGATTGGCTCAGATCATGGCAAGCAGAGTGAGCCCATTGCTCAGTGACATTTCTCTTTTTTTCCCTCTGTTTGTTTCTTCATACTAGAGGCTTCTTCAAATTTGGGGGAATCTTTGGGTATCTGCTCTTTTGTTTTTTTTGCAGGGAAAGATTTGCCCTGAGCCAACATCTGTTGCCAATCTTCCTCCTTTTTTTTTAAATCTCCCCAAAGCCCCAGTACATAGTTGTATATCCTAGTTGTAAGTTCTTCTAGTTCTTCTACATGAGCTGCCACCACAGCATGGCAACTGACAGACGGGTGGCCATCGAAGCAGTGAGTGCTGAACTTTAAGCACTAGGCCATCAGGGCTGGCTTGGGTATCTGCTCATTTTTAAGAGTGGACTAAAAACAAAGATGGGGCATGGTAACTGGGGGACATCGTTATAGGGTGAGTAGGTCAACTGTCAGTATCTTCAGGTCTTTTCTCTTGAGTTTCTCCAAAGAGGTATCTTTCAATCTACTGCCTGCATAGAGGCAGGGGATGGCAACAAGCCTGAATGTGAGCATCCCTGAAGCCAATGGACAGACGGAAAAAAAGGGGACCAGGGTTTCACTATTCAGTATACAGATATTCACTCACCCTCGCTTCATTCACTAGGGAGTAAGTCTTCAGTTTTCTGTAGACATAGGTGATGGACACATCAAGGTGATTCTGCAGATCAAGATGTTGACAGGGCTGGTTCCTTTTGAAGTCTCCAGGGGAGAATTTGTTCCTTATCTTTTCCAACTTCTAGAGGCTGCTGGCATCCTTTGGCCCATGGCCACATCACTTCAATTTCTGCTTTCTCCCTTACATCTTCTACTACCAACTTTGATCCTCTAGCTTCTCTCTCTCTCTCAATCTCCCCATCTCAAAATACTTAACCTGATCACACCTGCAAAGCCCCTTTTACCATGTAAGGTAAGATATTTACAAGTTTGGGGGATTAGGACATGGCCATATTTGGGGGGATATTATTCAGCTTACCACAACTGATAACTCACATGCCACTTCAAATTTAATAAATCCAAAAACAATCTTCTAATCTTCCCACCTCCTATTTCTCTCATCTTAGTGTACCCCACCTTAGCAAATGTGCCAACATCCACCTACTCGCTCATGCCAGAAACCTGGTACTTACCTTAGGTAAGATACCTCCCTGTATTTAGTTCACATTACCAACTACTAAGCCTTCTTGAATCTTTATTCTAATATTGTTTGGATTTCTCTGATTTTTCTCCATCTTCACTGTAATTGGCACATCAGGACTACTGTAGTAGTCTCCTAGTGTGTCTCTGCACATCCCAGACTTATCCACACATCCAATCCATCCTCCAAGCAGTAACTACAGTAATCGTTTTACAATGCAAATCTAATCATGTTACTCCTCAGTAGCATCTGTACAGCCCTGCCTAATTCTCCAGCTTTTTCTTAAGCCATTCCTTCTCCTCCTATTGTGTTCTGGCCAAAGTGGCCTTTCAGCTTCTGAAATGCATCAAGCTTCAATTTAACTGCAACGCTCTTGAGTTTGCTATTCTCTTTGCCTGAAACACTTTTCCTCCATTTTTCACTTAGCTAATTCTTACTCTTCAACTTTTTTTTTTTTTAATGAGGAAGATTAGCCCTGAGCTAATCCTCCTCCTTTTGCTGAGCAAGATATTGGCCCTGGGCTAACATCTGTGCAAATCTTCCTCTATTTTGTATGTGAGTCACTCCCACAGCATGGCTGAGGAGTGGTGTAGGTCCGTGCAGGGGTCCTGTGCCCTGGGAACCCAGGCCACTGAAGCGTGTGTGTGTGTGTGTGTGTGTGTGTGTGTGTGTGTGTAACTTAACCACTACACCACAGGGGGTGGGGGGCAGCACCTTGTGTCATTATTTTTAAATGTCTATTTTATCAGCTAGACCATAAACTCCCTGACGGCAAAGATTTCATTTTATTTATTTGTCATCTCTTTTATGCTCAGATTTTTATTTGTTTTACCATAAATTACCGTGGCACTAAATTTGGCTAGAGACAAAATGCTCCTAAGTTAATGTTACTTTGTCAAGTACTTATGTTACTCCATGGGAACGATATGGTAAATGTAGGTAACTTAGGAAAACTGTGTCTCAGTGTTTTTGTACGCTAATGGGGTTGTTATACCTATCTAACAGCTTGATGTAAGGACCAAATAAGACTACATACATCAAGCTGTTGGGACAGCGCCTGGAATACAGTTAGCCTTCAAGAAATACAGTTTTTTAGTTTTTGAATTAGGATGCAGTTACTACTTTTGTGCGGTACCACACATAACTTGCAACAGCCAAGGAACTTCAGGTTAGATGGACAGAGAGTAATAAAAGCCAAAGGAAAAAAGCTGTAACACAAAGAGGGCAGGAGTTGAGAAGCGTTAGTGGGAGGAATGTTTGTGAGCCTGAAGGTGGTAAAGCGAGAGGGTGGTGATGAGCAGGACCATAGTGGTGGAAGTCCAAGGTTGGCGAGGAAATCTCCAAAGGATAGGTTCTCAGGACTCTCCTTGTATTGGAGGTGATGGGAACCAAGTGACCACGAGCGCAAACCCCTCACAGTAGTGAGCGGGAGGCACTGGGCCCCCGGGCACGAACCATTGGGAGCGTGGAGAACGTGGCAAGCACAACAGGTGGCAGCGTGGGCAGCTCTACCTTCCCGAAGCCCGGGGAGCAGCGGCAGCGGCGCCACGTCCGCCCCCGTCACCCGCCTCCCTTCTGCCCCGTTACCTTGGGGACCGGGTCACCTGACTGCGCGCCGTGCGCCTGCGCGGGCCGCGGGCAGGGGCGGGGGCGGCGCCGTGACGCGCCTCGCGGGCGGGCCTTGGGCGTGCGCCGTTCCCCTCCCCTCGGGTCTCGGAAGTCCGTGCCAGCGACCGAGGCGGCGGCGGCGAGCTGGTCCTGTGGCCTGGGTGAGCAGCTCTGGGGGAAAAGAGGGACGCTCAGCCGCGTCCCGGGCGTGGGGCGGAGGGGCGGAGGGGCCGCGGCACTAAGCGGAGAGCGTCTGGGTCGCGGCGGTTTCGGGAGGCGGGGCGGCGCCGCCCTCCCCTCAGGGGGCTCCGCGCCCCTCCTGGCGCCCAGCCGGGCCCGGGGCGAAAGTTGGCGCGGGCGCCGTGCTCTGCCTGCCCGCCGGGGCCGGGGCGCAGGGGCGGGGGCGCGCGGTCACCCCGCCGCAGTCAGCGGCTGCTCGGCGTTCCGGTCCCCGTCGGCGCTGTTTGTTCCTCCTGGAGAAGCTCCCCGGTGCCCGGGGCAGAAGGAGCCGGGCTGCGGTTCCCCACCGTGCTCCGCGTTCCTGGGCTGGACTCACCTTGCGTGGTGCTTAATCGGACTGTCGCGGATTTGGAAGGAGGGAGGAGGTGTTTGTTGAGTGGGCGAAGCCTTGGCTTTCTGGAAGGGGATGGAGAAGAGGGTGATTCGCTGTGCGCTTATTTATGGAGAAATTGGAGGAAAGAGAAACGTTTCCAGCAGGGTGTGTGTTCAGAAGTAAGGTCCCTTGAGATCTAGTGACTCAGAGCTTTCATTTCAGGATTTCCTTGTAATAACGGGAAACTGAAGACATAGGGACGTGGAAAGTTTTCTTTTTCACCAAAGTGGAATTATGTAGTCATGGAGTCCTCTAATGTGCCAGTTTTTGAAAGGAATTTCTAGGTTTATCTAGTCTGTATATATTATCTGCATACAGATTTACCGCTGTTTTTTCTAGTGTGTAAGTACATTACTTACAGAGTACACTTAGTGTACCAGACTCTTAACATCTGCTTACTTCAAAGAGAAAAATAATTGATTAAAAAGGAAAATTACATTGAAAAACAGCTGCAAGCTCTTAGCTTAATCGCAGGTATATATAAGTGATTAGTTTGAACTCAGATTTGTCCCGTCTTTAGCTTTTCTGTTTGAGGTTAAGGACAAACAGTAAAAAATGTTTTTTCATTTTCTCTGTTACCAACTTAGTTCTAAAAACTTTTGTAGTTTAAATGGTATGTAAATATTATAGATCAAGTGGTTTGTGCCACAGAATAAAAATAAGCAAATGGAATGTGTTTTAAAAGATGCAGGAAATAGTCACTCCATATAACTTTGACAACATTAATTTTTAGTTATGTTTGGGCATTATAAGAAAGGATATAAAAATCATGACCAAAAGAGGAAGAATTTACTAATAGTTGGCAGTTGAATGTACTGTTGGGTAAAACAGTTCCTTAAATTGAGAATGATTCAACTATTTTTCCTGTTTTTGCCAAATTTAGGTAATTTTTAGGTAGTAAATGCTTAGAGTTTCTAAAAGGAGTCCCCCAAACAACTTTAAAATATATATATATCTAGTAATAGTTATATTAGCATTTGTTAATTTCTTTCCAAGTGATGCGAACAGTTTTTGTACATTTGTTTAGTTTCTGAGGAGGTAAGCAGAAATATGGCTCAAAATTGAAGCAATAAAAAAGATACACAGTTTTAAGTCGTCTTCCTTCTAGGTCTTCCAGCTAACCATATTCCCTTCTTATGGGAGCCAACCATTTTACGTTTTAGGTATCCATACAGGGGTATTTTATACCTATACAAACAAACATATAAATATATTTTCCCCCTTCCTTTTTTTTTCAGTGTGGTAAAATACGCTTAACATAAAATTTACCTTCTTAACCATTTTTAAGTGTACAATTCAGAGGTATTAAGTACATTGATACTGTTGTGTAACCATCACCACCGTCCATCCCTAAACTCTTTTCATCTTGTAAAACTGAAACTCTATACCCATTAAACAATAACTCCCCATTCTCTCCTCCCCCCAACCCCTGGTAGCCACCATTATACTTTGTGTCTTTATGATTTTGACTACTCTAAGTACCTCATAAGTGGCATCATACAGTATTTGTCTTTTGTAATTGGCTTATTTCACTTAACATAATAGCCTCAAGGTTCATCCATGTTGTAGCATATTGCAGAATTTCCTTCCATTTTAAGGCTGAATTATATTC